CTTGCCTGGGCCGATGCATGGGTGGGCGCTCCCCGCGGCTCTTCCAGGGCTGCGCCCTGGCTTGGAGCAGGTGCTTGTGGGGCTCTAGGCGCTGCGGCTGCGCCATCGGCTGGGGCTGGGGTTAGGGGTGTTAGGGGCCGCGCTCTGGGAACAGCCCAGGCCTCAGGGCTCCGCAGGGCACAGACAGCCGCTGGCCGAGGAACGCGCTCCCCTGGCTGTCCCTGTCCCCGTGGGTCCAGGCAATGCCTGGCAAGCCCCGCTGCGCAGCTTGGCATGGATGCACATCCTGGGGGCGCGGGCATGCGACAGCTGCCCCCTTCCCTGCCCGCAGTGACAGAAAGGGGCAGAGCGCAGCCCTGCAACTCCCAGGGCTGCCCTGAGCTCAGGCCTGCGCGGTGCCCTGGAGCCGCCCCAACCCCACGACCCGCCAGCGCCGCGTTAGGCTGGCAGGGAACAGCCCTGGGGTTTGGCCAGTACTGCCCACCTGCTGTCCCCGGACCAAGCCTGAGCGTCCCCGTGAGCCACCCCGGGGAGCCCCGGGCTCCCTGCTGCACCGCACGGCCCAGTGCACCCCCGCCCCGGGGCTCTGCCACGAACTGGGGCTGCTGGCAACTATGTACAAATATACAGCGTGTGGGCTCAGCCGGTGCCCGTGCCGGGGGGACTGCGTGTGTGTGGGGGGTGGGAGGGATGTGGCTGTGTGTGTGTGCACGCGTGCAAGGGCCGTGTGCTGTGGGTGAGGCTGGCGCTGGCACTGGCGCTGGCGCTGGGTGGAGACCCCGGGAGGGCTGCGCCCATGTGCTGTGTTGGCTCTAACCTGGCCGGCTGGCGGGAAGGGCTCGGCGCATCTTCCCGTGCCCCGGGGGAGCCGTGGGAAGGGGGCTACCGGTGGGTATGATGCTGGGCAGGGTCAGCACGTCGGCACTGACCGGGGCGGCAATGGGCAGGGCGAGGGGTGCAGCGATGGCACGGCGGGGTCTGGGGCGGGGTCGGGGTCACAGTGTCAGTGCTGCACAGGTGCATGCAGGGGGCCTGGGGCTGGCGGGGTCACAGTGTGGGTGCTGCGCAGGGCTGGGAGCTGCGAGGGCTGCAGGCAGGGTGACCAGGCCCAGGGGCCACTGAGGCGCAGGGCTGGCTGTGGCAGCTGAGCCACGGCGGGGCCCAGTGACAGCCCACGGGTGCCGGCCTCCCAGGAGCCACGGGGCTGCCACGCAGGGGCTCTTCCCAGGGTCAGGCTGCATCTCTGCCTGTCGAGGTCGGGGTGAACTCCTCCGCGGCAGTGGGGCGCTGCGTGGGGGGCAATGCCCATCCAGCCTGGGGCTGCAGGGCGGGAGGCACCCCCAAAAGGCCAACCCACCACGCATGCAACACATCTACTGCCTCCCCCATCTGCATTGCTCCCCCGCCTGCAGCCAGCGGCTCTGTCCCCTGGGCCCCGGTCTCGGCGCCAGGCTGGCCCCTCGCTCTGCCCTGCTGCGCCGCTCCGTCCGTCTGCGCCGCGCCGTGTGCTTGGAGACGGGGCCGGCCCCGGGTGCCGGCGCAGGGCTGGGCGGGAGGAGTCCCCGGGCAGGGCCTCGGCGGCGTCTCTGGGCAGCGCAGGAGGCTGGTGGGGTCAGGGCCGCGCCGGCCTGGACGGGAGCGGGGCAGCCCCGTGCGCACGGAGCCGGGCGCGGGTTTGGGCGGTGCGGCCCGGCCTAGCAGGCAAAGTCCTCGAAGACGCCCTGGTGGGAGTAGTGGTGGCGGTGGTGGTGGTTGGGCAGGATCCCGGCGGTGTAGGCGCCTTCCACGTGCCGGCCCAGCGTCTCGCAGGGGCTCTGAAAGGGAGGGGCTGCTGGGGCGCAGTGGCTGCCCGGACCCCCTGCCCCAGGGAGGCGGCTCCGCGCGTCCCCTGCCCACCCGCAGGGCCCGGAGCGGGCTGGGGGCAAGGGGTGCTGAGCGGGGCGGCCCCGCGCTCCCAGCAGCCCCCACACGTGGCCCATCGCGCTGTGCTGGGTGCCCGCCCCTGCCCAGCACGGCTCCAACATTCGGCAGCGCCAGGCCCCGCGCCCAGGGCTGCCGGAGCCCGTACCTGGTCCTTGAGCTCCTCGAGGCCCAGCGTGGCGATGCTGCCCGACGGCTTCTTCAGGGGCGGCTTGGAGCGGCGCAGGGCACGGTTCACCCTGTCCCGGATCACCTGGGCGTGGGAGACAGTGCGACACGGCTGCAGCCCTGCATACGTGCGGGCATGAGCGTGCAGGCAGGCGTGCAGCCCCACATGCAGCCCTGCATGGGGGCACGTGCATGCACTGAGGATCCCGGGGAGGGGGCTGGTAGGGTCCTCTGGGGTCCCCTCCCGCCCAGCTCGGCTCCGGACAGGCCCAGCCCCATCCCAGCCCCCCAGACCTGGCTTGATCTGACCTGATCTTACCACCCCCAGCCCTGTGTGCTGCGATGAGGCCCAGGGACACCAAGAGCCCCTGGCCGTGCTGCTGAGAGCGCCCAGGCCCAGGCCGTGCCCCCGCTGCAGAGGCCGTGCCCCCTCCAGGCAGCGTGAGCGGGGGAGCCAGGACCCTGCGGGGCTGAGTCCCGGCGGGAGCATTGGCACAGCCCCAGCACGGGCTGCAGCCAGCACCCGGCGCCGCTGAGAAAGGGAAACCCTCTGCCCCTGCCAGCAACAGGAGGGGGAAATTTCCCTCCTGGCCCCACGCGGCAGCCAGCAAAGCCCGGGCCCGGGAACGGCAGCCACCTCCGCTCTGCTCTGCAGCCTGGGGCTGCCGTGAGCTCCGCACGGCCCACCCCGTCATCCTTGCTCTCCATGACCGCCCCCCGCCCCCCCCCCCCGCCCGCCACAACTGGCCCGGCTCTGCTCTGTCCCTGCTGCGGAGCACGGCCACAGACTCGTACAACCGTAAAGTCACAGGCAAGGAGGGTGGGAGGGAGCGCAGGAGTCACATCCAGTCCGACCCCCTGCGCAGAGCAGGACCAGCCCCAACTGCATCATCCCAGCCACGGCTTGGTCTATCGGGTCTCAAACGCCGCCAAGGATGGAGCCTGCACCACTTCTCTGGGGAGCCTGTGCCAGAGTTTTACTACCCTCTTAGTCAGAAAGCTTTTCTTAATATCCAACCTCAACTTCCCAACTTGTCCACATACTTTCTGTCGTGGGGGGCCCACAGCTGGACTCCAGACGTGGCCTCCCCAGTGCTGAGTAGTGGGGAAGCATCACCTCCCTCCATCCACTGGCACCGCTCCTACCGATGCAGCCCGGGATGCCGTTCGTCTTCTTGGCACAAGGGCACACTGCCGGCTCCTGTTCAGCTTCTTGTCCCCTGTCCCCCCAGGTCCTTTCCTGCAGAGCTGCTGCGCAGCCCGTCCCCCCCAGCCTGCCCCGGGGCAGGGGATCGCTCCCTCCTCAGTGCAGCACTTTGCACTTGTCCTTGTTGAACTGTGTGAGGTTTCTTTTGGTTCAGTCCTCCAATGTGTCGAGGTCTCTCTGAATCCTAACTCGACCCTCCAGCATACCCACTATTGCCCGCATTCTCTGAGCCTGATGCTCCAGCCTGTTTTCTATCCACTTTACAGTCCATTCATCCAGCCCGTACTTCCTCAGCTTGCCTGCGAGAATGCAGTGGCAGACCGCATCAAAAGCCTTGCTAAAATCAAGGTCCACCATGTCAACCGGTCTCCCCGCATCCACAGAGCCAGTCACCTCCTCATAGAAGGCATCAGGTTGGTCAGGCGTGACTTGCCCCTGGTGAACCCATGCCGACTGTTCCCAATCACCATTTTCTCCTCCAAGTCTGTCCACGTCCTTTTTAAAGTGCAAGGCCAAAAACTGGGCACAGGGCTCCAGGGGAGGCCTCCCCCATGCTGGAGAGCGGGAGAGTCACCGCCCTGCGTTTGCAAGGGCCACGGCCGTGCATACGGCCCCGGAGGCTGCCGACTCTTCCCGAGCAGAGCGCGCTGCCGGCTCCTGCTCAGCTCTCGGTCCACCCCGGCCCCCCTCTGCGGTGCTGCCGCCTGGCCGGTCCCCCCCAGCCTGCCTCTGCATGCCGGCGTCCCGACCCCATGCAGGACTCTGCTCTCCTCTGGTTGCTGCCGGACCATTTCCAGCTTATCCGGGTCACTCTGGATCCCAGCCTTGCCCTCAGGTGTCTGCACCTCTGCCAGCGGGGTGTTATCGCTAATGCGCTGGGCATGCCCTGGCTCCCAGTCTCCAGGCATTAAACAACATGGACCCCAGGACAGACCTGGGGAGCCCCGCTGGACACCTCCTTCCAGCTACACATGGAGCCATTGGTAAGGACCCCGCGAGCCCAATGGTCCAGCCAGTCCTGTATCCATCCACAGGACTTCCACCTCGTCTGCGTTTCTCTGTCATTGTCTTAATGACAATGTCGTGGCCTTGCTGAAGTCAAGGTCTGTCACATCCGCTGCTCTCCCCATCCACGGAGCCGCTCCTCTTATCGCAGAAGGAAGCAGGTCGGCCAGGCGAGACTTGATCTGGGTGACTCCGTGCCAGCTGTTCCTGGTCACCTCGTCCTCGTCTCGCTGCTTCCCAGTGGACTCCTCGAGCCGCTGCTCTGTGATCTCGCCAGCTGTCGAGGTCAGGCCGCCTGATCTGTAGCTCCTTGCATCCTTCTCCTTCCCTTTCTTAGACACAGGAACAATGCTTGCCCTTTTCCCATTGTCCGGGACCTCACCCGGCCTCCACGAGCTCTCGGAGGAAGGCCGATGGCTCCAACATGACCTCAGTCCTGCCGACATGAAAGCATCTGGCTTCTCTAAGTAATTCCTAACCTGCTCAAGGCCGTTTCTCTGTTCCTATCTGTGCTGCCAGCTGTGCCCGTCGGCCGGGGGCGTCTCCGTGAAGACCGAAGTGACAAAGGCATTAAATGTTCCGCCTCCCCTGCACGGTCTGTGGCCCGGTTGCCTTCCACACCCTGCTCTTCCTCTTCCTCTCGACATACTTGCACAGTCCCCGTTGTTGTCTCCTGCGGCCGTTGCCAGCTGCACCTCCACGACTCGACCTCCCTGGTTTCCTCCCTGTGTGCCCCTGTGACGCCCCCATCCTCTCCCCTAGTGCCATCACCACCGCGTTCCCCCTCGCTGCAGCCTCCTTTCTGCGTCCTGGCTCCCCGAGGAGATCGCCGGCAGCCAGGCCAGTCTCCTGCGGCACTGCCCATCGCCCTGCGTGCCAGCCCCGAGTCTGCTGACGTGCTGCGATACTGTTGTGTTGTCGGCACCTGGCACCTTCCCCATCACATCCTCAACCTGCTCCTGCCTGTGCGTGAGCGGCAGGATGAGAACAGCTCCCCGCTCGCTGGCTTCTCCCCCACTGGCACCCACACATCAGCCCCAGCTCATGCCAGGCCTTGTTGGACGGTCTGGGCCCCGCTCTCGCCCAATAACCCTCCAGACCGGGGCCTCGTCCCCTCCTGCTCCTGGTCTGGAGCCTGCAGCAGCCGCCCACCGTGAGGTCCCAGCTGCTCCCGCTCGGACCCTCACCCGGCTCTCCCAGCAGGCCTCTCCTCCACCCCATGCTGCGCCGCCGAGCACGCGGACATCGCGGGTAGAGAAGGGGCAGTGCCTCCACTACCCCCATCCTTCCCGAGCGAGCTAGACCCGTCCAGGGGCGTCTTCCCATCCCGTGAACTGCCCCCACGTCTCTGTTGTCCCAATGGCGTCGTCATGCTCTGCTTGTTTGAGGACCCCCGGCCGGGCAGCGGGGTCGGGGCAGCTGCCAAGCAGGGGGGAGGCTGAGCCTGCACTCATCTCCTCCCTCCTTGCAGCACCTTCGAAAGGTCCTGCGCCAGCCCGAGGCCTCAGCAGCCCGCTGAGATTCGCTGATCTCGCTCACGCCTGGCCAAGCTCTGCTCCATTATCCAGCCTCTCCTTGGAGCCTCCTGGGCTGCAGAGTCCCTCCAGCCCCGGCGTCTCCCCTGCAGCTGCCTGCTTGGGCGGCGCAGACGTGTCTCCCCGGATCCAACCTCACCTGCCTGGCTGCAGTTTCCAGCCATGGGCCGCATCCTGCTCTCGGCAGCAGGAGAGAAGCTGCTCTCCCTCTTCCCTGAGGAGCTCCCAGGGACCAGCCAGCTGCTCCCACGTCCCCCGCAGCCCTTTCCCCCAGCAGAACATGCCCGGCTCCCTCGGCCTCTCCCCACACGACTTGCCCTTGACCCCCTGTCGCCGCCTCTGCCCCCTCCAGCTTCTCTACGGGCTTCTTACAGCGCAGAGCCTGGAGCTGCCCCCGGTGCTCCAGACAGGGCCTGGCCAGCGCCAAGCAGAGAGCATAGGCATGCTGACACATGCGCAAGTGTATGTGTCACACATGCACGTGCATATCTACACTCACATGTGGACAGGTGTGTTCATGCATGCTCACGAGCACTCACAGGGCAGCATCCAGCCCCCCCCTGTGCCCGTGCAGAGCAGAAGCTCACCCAGAGGAGGGGGAGAGGCAAAGGGAAGCAGAGGCTGTGATGGCGCCTTGCTGTAGCCCCAGCCCCAGCCCCAGCCCCGGCTCCCTGGATGCCCAGGGGAGCGCTGCTCACCCAGGCCCTGCCCCGGGGCCCCGTGCTCAGCGCTGCTTGTGGCTCTGCCCAGGGCGCTGCCGAGCCAACACTCACCTCGTACATGTAGTCCAGGATCTCCAGGACAGTGAGGATGCTGGCGCCAATGAACAGCCCCATCTGCCCCCCAATGTCACCTGCAGGAGGAGGCAGCGGTTACGGGAGGCGTCAGAGCCAGACCGGACCTGTCCTCCTCACCCAGGAGCCAGGACAGACCCCAGACCTTGGGGAAGAGGAGCAGGGCAGCGTGGGGGCAAGGGTCCCTGGGGTGCCCACATCCCAGGAGGGCTCAGGGGCTGCCCCCTCCTTCCCCTGGGTCAGGGCGAAAGCGGGGCTGGTCTCACCCGCCCACTGATGCGGGAAGGAGCACTGGGGGCTGGAAGGGGCTGGAGACTCCTCGGGCTCTGCTCTGGAGCCAGGTGCTCGAGCGCGGCAGCCGCGGCGACGGGGCGCGAGATGCCGTGACTCACCCAGCAGCCCGGCCAGGTCGTAGGCCTTCTTCTGCTCGATGGCCTCATAGTTCAGCGCCTCAAAGAAGATGTCCAGCACCAGGAAGTTCTCTCTGCGGAGCCGGAGACGCAGGGGTCAGTGCAGGCCTGGGCCCCGCGCGCACCTGCCAGGCTCCTACACACGGCCTCCAGACCTTGGCACCCTCCTGCCAGCCCCGGCCTGGCGTCTCCACCGTCCCTGGCCCTCCGGCCAGGTCCCCCACTCCCACCAGCACCCCTGTCTCCAGCCATGCCCAACAGTACTGGGCCATCTTTGGACATTGTCAGGGACCACCAGAGCTGCTCTGCGGGCGGCTGGGGAGCACTCGGGGCCTGACCTGCTCCCTGGACGTTCGGCGCAGGGCTGCCGGCACCGGGGCCTGACGGGGGTCCCCGGGGCTCTGCAGGGAGCAGGCACAGGAGCCTGCAGAGCTGATGCTGGGTACTGGGCTTGGAGGTGGCAGAGGTGCTGGACTGGGGGGGGCATGTCGTGCCGTGGGGCTGGGGGTCTCACCGGATGTAGGTCTCATTGCGGTTGTACTTGCGGGCGAGGTAGCGGGCTGAGCCCTTGTTGGGGATGCGCACCATGGAGATCTCCTTGCCGTAGCGCGTCAGGTTGCAGGGTGTGGGGCAGCTGCACAGCTCCCGCGTGTCCTCCACCACCATGTCTGCTGGCACAGGCTGCTGTGGGCGCCGGCACCACCCGCACCCAGCCCCTGCCCAGCCCAGCCCAGCCCCCCTTCTTGCTGCCTCTGGTCCCAAGCACTGCCCCCTCCCAGGGCCTGCAGCCCCCGCTCTGCCACCCTGTCCCCACACTGCCCTGGCACAAGCCCCTTCCCACGAGAGCCACAGCATCGACCTGTGGCCCCCTCCCCTGGTGCCCCCAGGTGCCAGAGCAGGGCTGTGCCAGGAGTACTTACCCAGCGTGTGGTCGGCACACTCGATGTACACATTGGGGGAGCAGATGGACTCGTTCCCTGGCAGGGGGAAGTTGGTAAGAGATGCCCGCAGGGCCCAGCCCCGCCAGGACACCCTCCCTGCACTGCCCCTGCCCCAGGGCACCCAGCTGCCGAGGGCCAGGCCACGCAGACGTCCAGGGGAGGGCAGGGGGCTGGGTGCAGCAGCCCCTACCTGGCATGTGGACCATGCGGCAGTGGCAGCTGTGCACCACGGCCTCCTTCTCGCACTGCAGGCGGCAGGCAGCGATGCTGTAGGTCTCGTAGCCCGGCAGCGTCTGCTCCCCCGGCACTCTGGCCCGGCAGCTGCCCCATGGCTGGGGCAGGTATGTGAGCTGTGGGACCGGAGCAGGGTCAGGGCATCTCCAGCGCGCTGGCCCAGGCACCCAGGTGCTGCCTGCCCCGGCATGGAGCGGGGCCTGGAGACACTTCCCGGACCGGCCCCCACCCCTGCCCCTGTCCCATCTCACCCGCTGCTCCTGGCACGACACGAAGGTCTGGAAGCCGGGGGAGACGCCGAAGCCGAGCTGGTGGATGTAGGGCGGCTCGTCCTGGCTGTGGATCTGCACCCGGATCCCGGCCTCGAAGGACGTCTCGTCTGCAGGGCGGGGGCAGGCCAGGAGGTCGGCATCACCCAGGAGCAGCCTGGTCACCCCAGCCCTGCCCCGGCCTGGTGCAGCCCCCCCTGCCCCAGCAAAGCTCCCCAGGGCCCCTGCACCCTGGCTCCCTGTGCCCCGGCCCTCCCAGCCAGACCCCAGACCTTAGCATGGCATGTGCTGCCCCTGCCCCCCCAGCCCTGGGAGAATGGGGCTGGCAGGGTCAGGGAAGGGGTCACGGCCCCCCAGCAGCCCCCAGACCTGTGCATCCAGGACCCGGCTCCTGGAGAGCAGCTGCTATAAACCCAGCAAGCCCCAGTCCCTGCCGGCCCCCACGTCCCCCCGCAGCAGGCTCTGGCCCCCATGCAGCGTCCCCTCCACCCCCGCCAGGCGCCTGCTCCGGCCCCGCTCTGCCACCCCCCGGCACTGCGTCTCACTGGTTTCCCTCCAGATGGGCAGGTATTCCTCCTGCTGGATGTCCAGCATGATCTCCAGCCCGTTGCCCATGCCGCCCTGCCGGGCCACGCGTGGGTTCCTCCGGTCCCCATTGAAGGTGTAGCACTTCCCGTAGCGTGTGTAGACCTGCGGGGAGACGGCAGAGTTGGCACGGCTGGGGGTCATGCATGGGGCTGTGGCCATCGCTGCTCCCCAAGGCCCCGGTTGCACCCCCGGTGCCTGGGATGGGGACAGGGGCAGAGGAAGGGCACGGCGCCAGCCCCCGTCACTGCTGCAGCCTGGGCCTGTGGCAGCCTCGGGCAGGTCTGTTCTCTGGTCTGGACACCACCTGTCCGGAGCAGTGCAGCAGCACCGGACGCCGTGAGATACCACCGGCCACCTGACCATAGGCGGCCCTAAGTTTCCAGAGCGCTGTTAGGCTGCGATGAGGACATCACATAGTCCCTGGTCTGGGCCCTGCCTCCCCAGCAGGAGAGACCAAGGAGGCCAGGCCTGGGCAGCCCAGGAGAGATGCTGGAGGAGACAGGAGCAAGGTTTGCACTGCTCTGAACGGGGAAGAGAAAGTCCCCAGGGATTTATTCCTGCCTGTTTCGGCCCAGACAGAGCGGGGGTCCTGGCACAGGACAAGCAGGCTGGTATGTGCAAACTGGGCCCCGGCTGTCCTGTCCCCCCGCGGGGCATTCAAGGTGGGACTCGTGGCCCCAGACGTGGCGGAGCTGGGAGCGCAGCCGGATCCACCGGGGACCGGACACGTGCGGGGAGGAAAGGGGCACGGGGAGCGCTGGGGCAGGGAGCGAGGGGCACGGCCTCTGCACCAGCTCTGCCGGGACCCTCCGTGCTGGAGCAACAGGGGAAAGCCCTGCTCGGCCCCGGGCACTCGCCCGCCAGCTCCGCTCTGCCGCGGGGCACGGGGCTCTTTGTGGCCTGGGGACCTGGGCCCACGCGTGCAGGGAAATGCTATGAGTCTTCCCTGGAAAGGGAGGACGCGAGACCGGCGACACCTGACCGCTGGGACCACTACAGACAACAGGGATGGGAGCAACGGGCAGAGGTTGAAACCCAGTCCATGGAGGGGCGTGGAGCAGAGCACGCCGCACGGCCCCTCCAGTGGGCCCAAGGAGCCGGTGGATGCTGCCCGGTGATGCTCTGCTAGGAGATGGGAACACAGTAGCCAAGGAAAGCAGCCCCGCAGCCCCCAGGACCCCCGGCAGAGCCTCCTTCAAGGTAGGACACAGGCAGCCTGGTCAGGGCCAGGAGGAGGTTGCCTGGGAGGCCCCAGCGCTCGGGGGCCGCGGACGGATGGGGAGTGCATCAATAAACAGGCACGGGGAGCGGTGCAGCCAGAGCCCGGCAGGAGGCGGTGCAGGAGCTGCAGCCTGACGCGCTCCAGGGACGCGTGTGCTGGGGTCTCCCTCTGCTCGTGGCAGGGGCAGGGGTCAGGGGCCTCCCTGAACCGTGCCGGACACATGGCCGTGGCCATGGCTCCGGGCAGGAGCCGCCAGCTGAGGTCCCGGTGGCTCACGGGATCAGGGAGCAATATACAGGCTCGTCCACCCGGGACCCTTGTCCTTGCTGAGCCTGTCCCAGTGCTTGGTGTCCGGCGGGACTTGAGGACGGGCTGGGGAGGGTGCGGAGCCGCACGGGCAGAGCTGGCGGCACCAGGCGGTTCGCAGGCAGAGCAGTTTGGCATCCCCCGGGCTGCTGACACGGGGGCAGGGAGCACCGCGGGGTCCCACAACGAGCTCTGGGGCTGGGGGTCCTGGGGGACGGGGATGGCCCTTGCACAGGACCTGGTCAATGCAGGCGAGGGCAGCATCCGGCTGGGTGGCCGTGAGTGGGGCACCCAGCACAGGGTCCCAGGATCAGGGGGAGCACGGCCGCCTGGGGAGCCCCAGCTGGACAGGTGGGAGGGCCGGAGCTGTCTGTGCAGGGCTCGGCTCCACCAATGCCGGGTCGGGGGGCTCTGGGGTCAGACCTGCCTGTGGCCAGCCCCCACACCCCTGGTAACTGCAAGGCAGAGACCCCGGCCCCAGGCCCAGACGCCAGGGGCACGGGAAGCCGTGGAGTCAGACCCACCTGCAAGCGCGGGGCTCCTGCAGCCCTCCGGCACCAATGCAGGGCAAGCTGGGGAGAGGGCTGCGCCCACCCCTGGGGCAAGACTGTCTTGGCCCCTGGCATGCAGCGAGGCAAGGTGTGAGCCACTGCCTGCCCCCCGCCCCCACAGGCGCCCCTACCCCTACCCCTAC